CAATGTTATAGGTCAACTGAAAAAATGCACAGCCTAGAAGTTGAGACTTAACGTTTATTCGAGGACCTTACTGAGGACTATAGCCCGGAAACAACCTTGGATAGTTCTGAGGAACTGTTTCAAAGAGGTAAGGGAGGAGCCATGATATATAGGAGTTTTTGCTTAAAGAAGTATTAGAACATCAAAAGATTACTGCTAATCACAAAAACAGACATCTCAAGTTAAGATTTTTATTGCTTTTCTATGTATGAAAAATGCAAGAGTCTGGGTTTATTGAAACTATTCCTTTGATATGCATCTGGGGCCAGTATCCTGTTTTTCTCCATCCTAGATTCTCCTCACAGGGCACTGTTGGAGGCGGCTGCAGTGGCTGATGGCTTGATGGCTACAACGTCCTTTGTTTACTGAAATGACAGGCAGCATTCTTTGTGCACAGTAGGAAAAATAACAATGACTGAAACCTAATTAGTTAAGCCTCCAAATCTATGTGTTTTAAAAATGAACTGAGTGAAGCCAAAAAAAAAAAGTAGATGAGAGATTAAAAGACAGAAATTAAGGAAATTAATTAAGAAATTTTTTTAAAGGAAAAAAGATTCACCCAGCATCTTTGAAAATAGAAACAAACTAGGCAATCTGCTGGAAAATCAATAAAGAAAAAAGATGTAAGTTACCAATAAAAATGTTAGGAATGAAAAGACATAATTATGGGTACAGCAAAAAGTCAAAAATAGTGAGACAATTGAATCAATAAATCCATTTCAATATATTTAAAAACAAATTATCCAGAATAGTTCTTCTAGAGAATAAAAAGAAGAGTGATTGCTATTAGTGAGTGAGCCTGTGTCTCTAGGATGTCCTTTCACAAGTCCTTCTCAGTTATCGTCTCAGTGTTCCTACCAGGATCCAGCAGCATCTTTGATTCCTAGGAAGCTGTGATTCTCTCTCCATCCATCTCTTCAGATTTTGGAGCAGCAGTTTCCCTGGTAACCTCTGTTCTCTGCTGGATCTAAGAAGAGTTGTTGCTTTTCAGTTTATTCAACTTTTTATTTGTTGTCAGGAGAGGAGTGACAACTTCCAAGCTCTTAACCTGTCAGACAAGACCTTTACATGTTGGTATTTATGCAACAAATTTGAAAGCTTACATCCACAAAGAAACCCCCACACAAATGTTTATAGCAGCTTTATTCATAGGTGCCAAAAATTGGAAGCAAAGAAGATGTTTTTCAGTAGGTGAATGAATAAACAAACTGTAGTATATCTCTACCATGGGCTATTATTGAGCCATAAAATGAAATGAGCTACCAAGCTATGAAAAGACATGGAGAAACTGCACATGGATGTTGGTAGGTGAAAGAAGCCAGTCTGAAAAGGTAACGTACTGTATGATTCTATCATTGTTAAAAAGACAAAACTATAGAGACAGTAAAAGATCAGGCACAAAAGACCAAATATTGTATGACTCCACTTATATAAAATATATAAAATAGGCAAATTCACAGAGAGAAAGCAGATTAGAAGTTACCAGGAGCTGGGGACTATGCTAATAAAAAGTTATTGCTTAATGGCTAAAGAGCTTCTGTTTGAGGTGATAAAAAGGTTTTGGAAACAGATAGTTGTGGTGGTTACACCACCTTGTGGGTATAATTGATGCTAATCAGTTGTACACTTAAGTATGATTGAAAGGCAAAATGTGTGTGTGTGTGTGTGTGTGTGTATTTGTGTGTGTTGTGTGTGTTAGTCAGTTCGGGCTGACCACTTAAGCCACATTCAACACATTTTCACAATTCTCTCTATGGGCACAAGTTCAAGAAGTGCATCTTGTTGTTCACTCTGCCTGGAAGGAGGTGGATAAAAATGTGTACCTACTGTGGTCATTGAGGAGTATGTGATAGCTTGTTAAAATGGTCAAGATTTTGAAGGAAGAGGACCGGAAAATTGACAGCAAGGTGGGCTGGGAAAGAGACGTACAACTGGATTTCCAGGAATGGGCCCACAGAGTGAGGAAATGTGTATCCCTTGGGAATGCTCACCAAGCAGTAGCCACAGCAGGGGAGTCTTTCAATAGTCAGGTAGATAAGATGATCTGTTCTGTGGACGGCAGTCACCTCCTTTTCCCAGCTGCCCAATTCTTGTTTGGTGGGCTCGTGAAAAAAGAGGACATGGAGGACAGAAGTGGAAGCTATGCATGGACTCAACAACATGGTCTTCACCTCAGCAAGGCTGACCTGGGTACTATTACTGCTGCGTGCCCAACCTACCAAAAGTAGAGTCCCATATACGGAGTCATTCCTCAAAGAAAT